GCTATTCCTAATTGAATATTAATGAACGTAATTACATTTAGTCTGCAGAGTTTAAGTAACAACTCAGAGAAGTTAAAGTTTGTTGACTTTCACTTTAATATTGTTGCAATAAGGCTAATGGATGTTATTAATATCAGATCCGGCAACTTGAGCTGTCGCTGTAAATAGTTCCGTTATGAATTCCCGCTCCTCGGCTTCCCCCTTTACTTTGTTTCAAATAAACACCCAACTTCCATTATAATCTTCTTCAATTAAGTATACAAATGGCTTAAAAGCTTACAAATGAGCATTGCATACTAAGCGTTTATGGTGATATCTTAATGGAAATTGTACATTTGACAAACACATTATTATTTATGAGTATTCCTAGTGCTATGTGTCTATTCAAAACTTCACATTTATAATATCATAGGATTATAACTATCATTAATTTTTGTGTGTGTGTTTTTAGTAAAATATTGTGGTTAACTCACGAACATTTTTGGTAACCATTTCAAATAAGCTTTATGTTTGTACTAGGATGCGGTATACAATTTTTTTTAAACACTATTGGGTTAAATCTTAGAGCTAAATAACGACTAGTTTTACGCCTGTCGCTTTTATAAAGGTATCCTTTGTTACTCGCTTTTGTTGATACCACCGCCGTCAGGGGCTATTGTGACATCGCTTCCGTCGTGTAGCGCGACGCGGAAAATTCTTTCGTGTGCTCGCCTTGCATTCACATGCGAATACCGGATAATCTTTATTATCCACTTTGATATAGTAATTAATAACTGGTAAAACATAGTTACGCCATACATTACATTTGTTTATTTCAAATAATTTTATTCAAAGAGAAAAAATCGTTTCATACATATTCCATACATACTAATACAGAGGAAAGATTTGTATGTATGGAAATAGCTCAAAAACTACTGTACCGATTTTAAAAAGGTAATTTATCTGTGAGTAACATAGGCTAAGTTTCTTTATTACTTTTAATTCCGCGCGGGCGAAATCGCGAGCAACAGCTAGTAGTAAATATTTTCCAAGTGACCTTCACTTGGAAAAAGATTTTTGACTTGATTTGCTTTAAATTTTTTGTGCATATTTCACTGCGTATCGTAAAACTTTTTATTGTTCAATATATGTTGTCGTTGTAAAATTAAAAGTACTTGATAAACGATGCAAATACAACATGTGGAGATATAAATTTTTGACGTGTTCCACATTGTAGAGAGAAACGATCTGCTCATAAGCACGCCGTGGGTAATCATAACTCACGTAGAGAAAAAGCGGAAGGGATTTATTTAATACCGCGTAAACTTTTGCCGGGACAAAAGATCCATTTGTTAGCAAGCGGATTTCCCTTCGCTGGGAATGTTTGTGAAGTCAAATAATAATAACGTGGGGAATTTTATTGTTATATTATATAATACTTATTTATAGTACAAGTAATACAGGTACGTTTTGTACAATCTCATTATTAAAAAAACTAATGTGTTTGACACAAATATTGAAAATTAATATGTATTTTATATGTTAGTTAAAAATGGCAGTTCATCGAAAAGACCTTAAGCTCAAAGCAACCTTTCATATAATACGGATCGTAACTTATTGATTTACCATTTTGCTAACATGATATGTAGTAGTCATAATTTGTAAACGTTATATGGGCGTCGCCGATGATCACGGCTATGTATGGGCGGTAGCTAACATTAAAGTGGTCTTCTTTTGAGTCTTTATATCTATTTTAGTATTATTGGACAACTTATTTAATTGATACTGTCGCTTTTAACTCAGAGCAATACTTCTCGTCAAGACTCAAGTTACGCGCCAATCTATCCATACTTCTAGTGACATTGACAGCTGTCAGCTAGGGACGTGCCGTTTATGCCGATAATCTAGAGTTGCGCCAATTCTATAGCACGGTAGTAATTTTATTCCTAACCTTTGGAGATATTAACTATATGATTATGAAATTAAAAAACCAAAAATAAACCTCTAAAAAGAATATCTATTGCACACTAACTACAACAATCAGTGTTGTCTTTGCTTCTTAACTAGGATATTTTAATAAACGTAATTATAGTTTTTATTTAAGTGATTTGGTAAAGAAAGTTAGTACACAATATCGAGGAAACAAGTCAATCGTAACACTCCGTATCATCTTTATCTTATCATGATTGCTTCGGGAACACGTACAGGGGAGAGACAACCTGATTACGTCATCACACCCGGGCTGAGCAATGGAGGTTAACGGCGTCGTAAGTTACCTTCACATGCGATACTATACCAAACAGAAAAGAACTACAATTACAGTATATTTGTTAGTAAATTATGTTCTTTTATTTATTGCAGTGTTATATAAATGTTAAATAACAGAATTTTCGTTTAGATTATTTCATTGGATAATTAATTTTGCTAACATAACTCATGCATAATTATTTAATTTGTATAGTAGAATTGAAATATTATACAGCGTTCAATACTCTTGTAGTGTACTTATTTCATTATATATTTTTATTTCGTTTATTTATACACAATATCTATTTATTTATATACACTACATTCGAGTCTTACACATATAATATTTAAATATCATAACATTATTATAATCAATATATATGTATTTACAATAACATATTTAGTGATATTAATTTATATATTACACATAAACAAAAATAACATATTAAGTTACATACGATTTCGGACAAACAGATTATAATTTTATATACATAATTTGTGCGCACCGCACGGATGTCAAACGCATCTACTGAAAGAGTGCAAATCATGCGTCATCCGAGCTGTCACCGGCAGTCGCCGCACACCGCCATACGTTGATGCAACGTTCGCGCTTCACTCTCGTTCGCTACCTCACATTCTTTGTTTATGTTCAGTTTAAGTTTTAATCGTGTTCCGTATTTGTTTGCTCATGTGTATGTGTCTGTGAATAAACTGTTGATAAATTATATAGTGGTTATTACTTCGCCGCCCGGCGACGCTCACACGTAATAACTTCTATAATTGGTGACCCCGTAAGTACACGCGAATAAATGAGCCACACCATGAGCGACAGCAGCGAATCACCGAAAACGGCCAACTCACAACACGAAGAAAACATCACGTTGCGACGTGCGCAGCGAGTTCGCCGGTCAACGGAACGCGAATTCAAACAAGCGCGAATGCCGAGAATAAAGGTACCCACTTTTTCACCGGATGAACCAGATCTTTGGTTTGCCCTTCTGGAGGGTCAATTTGAGGCAAATGGGGTAAACGACGATTATATAAAATTTACCTTGGTTGCAAATAACTTGGACATGCATTACGCAAAAGAAATAAAAGATATTATCGTTAACCCCCCGCCTAGATTCCGATATGAGAAAATTAAAGCGGAACTAATGAAACGGTTGTCAGCTTCCAATGAAAAGAAGGTGCAACAGCTCGTAATGCACGAAGTTCTTGGAGATAGAAAACCTTCCCAGTTCTTACGGCATTTACAGGATTTGGCAGGCCCAGAATGCCCTGAGCACATAATTAAAACTATATGGTCTAACCGTTTACCACGAGATCTTCAGAGGGTATTAGCATCCCAGTCAACGCAGAGCCTACAACAACTAGCTGAACTGGCGGATCGAATCGAAGAACTGACGTCATCAGGAAGTATTGCCACCACGTCAGCAGTACTACCACAAAGGTTAGACACACGCAGAGACGAGATTGCTGAATTAAAAAACATGATAATACAATTATCCCTGAAATTAGAAGAACATACCCGTAGTTCCTGTGCATCGTGCTCCACCAACCGGCCCGAGCGATCACATGACCGGCATCGTTCCCCCTCGCGAGAAAGAAGACGGTCAAGATCACGCACTGGCCAATATGCCATATGCTGGTACCATTCCAAGTTTGGGGACGACGCAAAGAAATGCATCAAGCCCTGTAAATATCCCAAGGCGGAAAACTCCGTGGGCAGTCGCTAATGGCGACAGACGATTGCTCCTCGTCGGGTCGCCTCTTTGTTACCGACCGCAGCAGTAACACCCGCTTCTTAGTAGACACGGGAAGCGACCTCAGTGTTTACCCTCGCTCAGCGCTTCGCGAACGACGCAGTAGGACAAACTTCGTGCTAAGTGGAGCCAATGGAAGTGATATTGACACATTTGGTTTCAGTGATTTGTGTTTAGACGTAGGCCTCAGGCGCAAATATCAGTGGCGTTTCACAGTGGCTAGTGTAACTATGCCAATTATTGGCATCGACTTTCTTAAACAGTACAACCTGATGGTAGATTGTCGAAACCATCGGTTGATAGATAATACTACCAGCCTACATTGTAATGCTTCTTATGTGAATTGTAATGTTTGTTCTGTAAAGGTGGCGACGGGAGACAGTTTTTACCACACTATTCTACAGCAGTATCCAGAAATTACTCGACCCTCTGGCACACTTGTAACACCTCGACACAACACGGTTCACTACATCAAGACCACACCAGGACCGCCCATTTCCTGTGCCCCTCGGAGACTTGCTCCGGACAAGCTGAAGATAGCAAAGCAGCAGTTCGAACTCATGTTAAGCAGTGGCACAGTACGTCCCTCCGAGAGCCCGTGGTCATCACCCCTTTTTCTAGCACCCAAGAAAGACAACAGCTGGCGGCCATGTGGTGATTACCGCATGCTCAACGCCCGAACGATCGCCGACCGCTACCCCGTTAAGGATATCCATAATTTTTCTCATTCCCTTGCAGGTTGCACAATATTCTCCACCATCGACCTTGCTAAGGCTTACATTCAGATTCCCGTGTATAAACCTGACATCCAAAAGACGGCGATTACCACACCTTTCGGCCTGTATGAATTCCCTTTCATGTGCTTCGACTTGAGGAACGCAGCCCAGACATTTCAGCGGTTTATCGATGAAATGACGAGGGGTCTCGACTTCTGTTTCGCCTATCTGGACGACTTTCTAGTTTTCTCCAAAGATCAAGCCGAGCACGAAGTCCACCTCCATCAACTTTTCACTCGCATGAAGGAATACGGCGTCCTTGTTAACACTGCAAAGTGCGTCTTCGGTACTGCCGAGGTAACACTCCGCGGCTACCATATTTCTGCAGACGGTATTAAGCCTCTGGAGTCAAGGGTCCAGGCAATCAACGATTTTCCTATTCCAAAAACCGTCAAACAACTAAAAACATTTCTGGTAATGCTCAATTTTTATAGACATTTTTTACCCTATTCCGCTTCAATTCAAACTCCACTTAACGCCTTACTCTCAGGCTGTTCCAAAAATACTCAGTCCATCACCTTAACTGGCGACGCTCTTTCCGCTTTTAACAAGTGCAAGGAAAGTCTCGCCAAGGCTGCACTTCTCGCACACCCAGATTGTCAGGCTGATCTAGCGCTGGTCACAGACGCTTCAGATCTGGCAATGGGTGCAGTTTTGCAGCAATTCAAAGATGGCGTTTGGCAGCCACTCGCTTTCTTCTCGAGGAAACTCAGTCCCTCGCAACAAAAGTATTCGCCATATGATCGCGAACTTCTCGCCATTTACGAAAGTATCAAACGACACTTCGTGGTCTACACTGACCACAAACCACTTACCTTTTCTTTTAGTGAACGGAAAGTTAACTGTTCACCTCGTCAACTTCGCCATCTTGATTACATCTCGCAGTTTACAACCGACATTAGGCATATTTCTGGAAAGGACAACGTTGTTGCCGATCCTTTGTCCCGTGTCG